TGTGAACGGAACCTCGAACGACGCGCAGGGACCCGGGGTCGCGAGGGGCGGCCTGCAGGTGGGGCGCAGGCCCGGTTCTGCCGAGCGCTCCCGCCTCCCGTCCGCATTCCCATCTTCCCGTCTTTCTCTCTGGTTGTCTTCTTTTTTGAGTCGGGGTCTCCTTCTGTCCCCCGGGCTGGAATGCCGTGGCACCATCACGGCTCACCACAGCCTCGACCCTCTGGGTTTAGGCGACCCTCCTGCCTCAGCCTCTTGAGGGACTACAGGCCCTGCTAAGTTTTTTGATTTTTTGTAGAGACAGGTCTGGCTATGTTGCCCAGGCTGGCCTCGGACTTCTGGGCTGGAGGAATCCTCCTGCCTTAACCCCTCAAAGTGCCACTACCCCCTGCCTTCAGGCTTATATATCTTCAGGCTTATCTTTTTCTGTGGTTGGACCACTTTGTTTATTTACCTGTTTGTCTTCTGGTCACTGGAATGTAAGCCTGGCCAAGAGGACGGGAGGGGACAAGCTGTTTTATTAATCCCCAGGTGCCTCCTGCCTGGTCCTAGTGGGCACTCCAGCAGTATTAGCTGGATAAATGAGTTACATGAGGTAAAGCAGACAGAAGTGCCAGGATTAGAAACGTACCCTCTGTGGGCCTGTCTTCTCCTTATTAAAGGAGAGGCGGAGACCCCAGCTCTTATATGTCCCTGTCAGCTAAAAAGCATTACAGTTCTCCTAAGATCATAGGTGGTAATGACCAAGAGAGGACACATCTGCATTCTGAAGTTTACCGGAGCATTTACAACTAGGGTGTTCAGGGTGCGGGTTTATCTTATGTTTAATTCGGTGGCCTTCCACTCGCTGGTGGTCTTGGCTCACATCAGATGTGAGCACATTCCAGGAAGGGAGAGAGGAGTAGAGGAAGTAATTTCACAGAGAGGGTGGTGCCATAAAGACACAACTTGGCTTGCACGGTGGCTCATACCTGTAGTACTAATGCTTTCGGAGGTCAAGGCAGGAGGATCACTTGAGGCCAGGAGTTTGAGACCAGCCTGGGCAACATAGCGAGGCCCTGTTTCTAAAAACAGAAAAAAAAAATTAGGCAGGCATGGGGGCATGTGCCTGAAATCTCAGCTACTCAGGAGGCAGAGGCCAGAGGATTGTTTAAGCCCAGGAGTTTGAGGCTGCAGTGAGCTATGATTGCGCCACTGCACTCCAGCCCGGGTGACAAACATACACACAAATTATATACGGGTGTGTTTGCATATGTATGTATATGGGTGTGTGTGTGTAGGTAAGAAAGCCTAATTAGATCAAGTGATTGCAAGGCATGGTGTTGGGTGGGTAGGCCTGCTTTGGATAATGGGGCCAGGGAGGCTCTTTGAAAAGGTGATATTTTAAGGTCCGGTGCTGTGGCTCATGCCTATAATCCCAGCACTTTGGGAGGCCAAGATGAGAGGATTGCTTGAGCCCACAAGTTCAAGACCAGCCTGGGCAACTTGGCGAGTCTTCATCTATACAATAAGTCAGGAAAAATTAGCAGGGCATGGTGGTGCATGCCTGTAGTTCCAGCTACTTGGAAGACTGAAGCAGAAGGATGCCTGAGCCCAGCAGGTTGAGGCTGCAGTGGTTGTGAGCGTGCCACTGCACTCCAGCCTGGGCAGCAGAGTGAGACTTCAATTCGAAGAAAAAAAAGAAGAAAGTGACATTTTAGCTGTGACCAGAAGGAGCCAGGCAGTCACTGTGAGATCTGGGGCCAGGGCCACAGTCCCAGGAAGAGGTAGCTGTGAGATCACAGGTCCTGAGGTGGGAACCCACTGGACCTGCTTGAGAAGCCTGCAGCAGGCCATGCTCTCCAGGAAGTGGCAAGTGTGGGCCAGAGCTGGAGAGAGTGAGGCCAGAGAGGGAGGGCCAGATCTGGCCGAGTCTCATACACATTGGGGTGGCGGGGTCAGCAGTTTGTGCTTAAGAAACTCAAGAATGCCAGGCTCGGTGGCTCAGCCTGTAATCCCAGCACTTTGGGAGGCCGAGGTGAGTGGATTGCCTGAGCCCGCGGATTTGAGACCAGCCTGGGCAACTTGGTGAGACCTCATCTCTACAATAAATCAAAAAATTAGCTGGGTGTGGTAGCACGCGCCTGTAGTTCCAGCTACTTGGAAGGCTGAGGTGGAAGGATCGCCGGAGCCCAGCAGGTCGAGGCTGCGGTGGCCGGGAGCGGCCACTGTACTCCAGTCTGGGCGACAGAGGGAGACTCCGACTCACAAAAAAAAAAAAAAAAGAAAGAAACTCAAGAAACAAGCACCTGCTACTTAACACTGGGCTCCTAGCTCAAACTGTAAACCCATCTTCCGGGGACCACACACACTCCCACGAAAAATGCCACTTGGGGCTGGGCTCAGTGGTTCAGCGTGTCATCCCAGCACTTTGGGTGGAAGGTGGAAGGATCGCTGGAGCCCGGCAGGTCGAGGCTGCGGTGGCAAGGAGCGTGGCACTGCACTCCAGCCTGGGCAACGGAGTGAGACTCCAACTTAAACAACAAAAGAAGAAAAAGGCCACTTGGGACTTCTGTTCCATCTCAGAGGTAGGCTTGCAAACAGCCATGCCAGGTGCTCTCCCTGGAGTCTTACCATCACCCAGCACGTATGTGGTGCAGTTTTGAGGTCACGTGTTTTGCCAGGCCTCGGGCCTGCCAGAGAGATGAGACAGGTCTATGGACAAGGCCTACTGACTCTAGCAGGAGTTTGGGGCCTCTGGTCACCCTCCTGGTAGTCCTGGCTGGGCACCTGCAGAATAGGAGCTGCTTTGTGCTGTGGTATCCGTTCCCACCCATCGTTTGGCTCACTGGGCAAGCAAAGGCAGGAAGCAGAAGTGGCTTGAAGACACTTTCTGTCTTGTGAAAACTCAGTTTCCTTGAGGAAATGATGCAGGTGTCCTGGAGGGGTTCCCATGGCAACAGATTCCCTGGGAGCCAATCAGCAGTGAGCGGTGAGAGCTGGGGCCTTCCTTCAGTATTCTCTGCTGTAGACCCCCCGGGGACCCACATGTTGGGCCCTGGGCTGCGGGGGAGGGAGCTTTCACCAAGTGAATAAGACTGGAGCTCCCCCCAGCCTGCCAGAATAGGGTGCTGAGTTAGATTCCATGGACTTAAAAGCAAGAAGGTGGCTGTAACTTAACACCTGGCACATAAATAGTGATGCTAAATGGTGGTGAACATGCTGGTGTGGGAAGTTCGAGGTGCCCTAAGAACAGTCCCAGACCAGAGGGCAGAGGAAGCCTTTTGGTGCCTTCAAAGCCAGCACCCTGCATCATCATCATTATTATTATTATTGTCATTATCATTTTGAGTTGGTGTCTCACTCTGTCACCCAGGCTGGAGTGCAGTGGCATGCTCACAGCCACCACAGCCTCAGCCTGCTGAGCTCAGGCGAGCCTTCTGCCTCAGGCATCCAAGCAGCTGGAATTACAGGCACATGCCATCATGCCTGGCTAATTTTTTAAATTTATTGTACAGACAAGGTCTCGCCATGTTGCCCAGGCTGGTCTCAAACCTGTGGACTCAGGCAATCCTCTTGCCTCTGCCTCCCAAAGTGCTGGGATTATAGGCATGAGCTACCCTGACCAGCAGGACTCTTTTCTTTCTTTTTCTTTTCTTTTCTTTCTTTCTTTTTTTTTTTTTGAGTCAGAATCTTACTCTGTTGCTCAGGCTGGAGTGCGGTGGCACGCTCACAGCCACCGCAGTCTCGACCTTCTGGGTTCAGGTGATCCTTCCACCTCAGCCTTCCAAGTAGCTGGAACTACAGACATATGCCACCATGCCCAGCTAATTGTTTGATTTATTGTAGAGACAAGATCTTGCCAAGTTGCCTGGGCTGATCTCAAACCGGTGAGCTCAGGCAATCCTCTCGCCTCAGCCTCCCAAAGAGCTGGGATTATAGGCATGAGCCACGGAGCTGGCCTGGACTCCTTTCAAGGGTGGCCTCTGTTATGCTAAAACAGGAAGCTGATCCTGGGGGGGGGCACTAAAGTGGTCTTCTCAGTCCAGGGTGATGCACTAAGCTTCCGTGGGTGAGGCTCTTGTGGTCCCAGCCACAAGCATCGCACACATGTCATCTGGACTCTGTGTCACATTCGGCAGCCGGATCAGGTGGTTGGGACCCAGACCCTCTGGCCTACATGCCCAGGTCTTTTACTCCATCCATTTCCAGGAAAGGTTCTGTGGCATCAGTTCTAAATCCTTCCTTGGACCCTCACTAGATGACCAAGCCCCACGCCTAGCACCCTGTCGGCGGCACTGCCAGGGGTCCCAAAGATGGTTCTGGAAAGACAAGAGAAGTGCAGGACTTGAGCTTCCTCAGCCCAGAGGGGAGGATGCCAAGCATGGGCTCCATCCCAGATGGGGGTGTGGGCCTGATGTTGACTTGGGGCATGACATGCAGATATCTGGACTCTGCCCAGCCACTGTTGATCTTTCTCCACCTGGAACACAGCGTGCAGAGTGTTTTTGTTCAAGTGGGGAGGCCCAGAGATACCAGGGACAAACTGAAACCCTAATCGACATGGGCAGAAAGGAGAAAGGGAGGGAATGCAGGTGTCATGTGCCCCAAGGGCAGTCCTGCCCAGCTGCTCTCTGGTACTGTGGACCTGAGGTCTGCTGTGATGGCCCGACATTTGGGAAGAAAAACACACACACACCCCCACAAAACATGTGAGGAAACGTGAAATGGAGTTTCTGGTTTTTCTTTCAAGGAGGCAGAGGGAATCCTGTGTGCACCTGAAGTCTCGGGGGAGTGCTATTTCATTTTTCACCCCCTTGAGTGATAGGCATTGAAAGTCAGTTAATATCTCCCCCCCTTTTTTTAGAGTCAAGGTCTTATTCCATTGAGCAGACTGGAGTGCAGGGGTACCCTCATGGCTCACTGCAGCCTTGACCTTCTGGGCTCAGATGATCCTCCTGCCTCAGCCTCCCGAGGAACTGGGACTACAAGGAACCCACCACCATGTCCAGCTCATTTTTTACTTTTTTGTAGAGATGAGGTTTTGCTATATTGCCTAAGTTGGTCTCAAACTCCTGAACTCAAGCAATCCTCCTGCCTCTGCCTCCCAAAGTGCTTGGGTTACAGGCGAGAGGCCCTGTGCTTCATCTTGTTTCTTTATTTTACTTATTTTTTTATTTATTTTATCACGTTTTTATTTTTAGTTGACAACTAGTAGTTGCATATAATTATGGGGTGCAAGGTGATGTTTTGATGGGTGTATACACCCTGAAATGAACACCTTGGGCTAATGGAAGTATCCATGGCATCACACAGTCCTTCCCATCCCATCTGTGGGCTCTGCCTCTGCAGATGCAGCCCACCCGGGGTCAAAAATTAAAAACAGCAACAACAACAAAAACCACAAGGCCAGGCTCGGTGCTCAGCCTGTAATCCCAGCACTTTGGGAGGCTGAGGTGAGTGAATTGCCTGAGCCTGTGAGTTTGAGACCAGCCTGGAGAAGTCGACAAGACCTCATCTTGACAATAAATCAAAAATTAGCCGGGCATGGTTTCATGCACCTATAGTTCCGGCTGAGGCAGAAGGATCACTGGAGTCTAGCAGGTTGACACTGGGGTGGCTGAGTGTGCCACTCCCCTCCAGCCTGGATGGACAGAGTGAGACTCCAACTCAAAAACAAAACAAAAAATATAGTATAACAACTATTTGCATAGCATTTACTTTTTTTTTTTTTTTTTGAGT